TCTTAACTTACCGCCAGTCAATTTAGTTCTAAGCTGGAATATACAAAGGATATCATTCGAGGCTTTTTACGGAGGAGGCAAGCAGAAACTCAGAAGATTTGAGTCTCAGCAAAGGAAAAAATCTAAACGTAAATATAAGTAAACGGAAAAGGAAAAAATGTGTGACAATTTTTTATTAAGGAAATATTACAAAACTCCAAAATGATATGTTAATACAACCTAATAAAGTTACCACCTCAACGCGAACACAAACAAATGTTTTATTCTTTGATTTAATAATTTTAACAATGATTATTAAAAAAAGTTTTTAAATATTTTTTTTTAAATTTACAACTGGACATCCTTTTTGCCACTCCCGCCACTTTTGAAAAGAGAAACGTCACTCCATCCCATTCCGGAAGTGTCAACGTCATACCCAGACCACTTCACGACATGATTTATGGCCAAGTGAAATTTTTCGCCAGTTTTTGACCCCGTCACCTGCGTCGGCTGCAGAATGAATTAATACCCTCTGAGCAATGACACAGGGCGAAAGAGTGTGACGAACAAAAAGAACAAGGCTATGTAAACAGGGTGACATGACAAAATTGCATCCACCCCCGGGCTAGTGTACAATACAAAACTATTGACAAATAACACCTTTAAACACACATTTAACACTAATGACAAATAAAGGTTTTAAAAAAGCCTACATACTCGAGCTTAATTACAATTTAGAAAGTACGGAATTTTACAAATTGATTCTATATTCGAAAAAAATAAACTACCAAAGGTCATGAAGATATATATAATATTGTTAATTAGTAGTATAGTAATATGTTTAGCTCTTGTAATTTTTTATTATTACCAACAAAAGTCAGAAAAAGTCGAAAAGTAATGCCTTAATGTATACTTTTATTATTGAATTGTGCGCTCTAAATTACTGTGCGGGGCTCAAAGGCCAAAATAGCAGCAACCTTTATGCTGTCAATTAAATTAATGGTCCGTCTTGGGAATTAGGAGACAAAGGTCCAAAGCACAACTTTGACCAAAGACAATGATGATACGACATAATGATGAAGTCGACCAACTATATTATGATATTGCGCGATAACCATGTCTTCTTGGAAAAGTATGAAGAATACTTTAATTTTTTATTTTTAGTTGCTGCAGAAATATAAAAAATTAACGTGGAACGAATGCTCTCACTTTGCCCTGCAGAAGCAATTACTTTCGAAACATCCAAAGGCATAATGGCGACCGATTTTAAACTACTCTTCTAATTTAACAGTTTTTAGTTAGAGAATAACAGATAGTTAGAAAGAGTGGTAGACATAGAAAAAAATATCGGAAAGATATAGCCATAAAGAAAGACAATTAGATAGAGATAGATAGATAGGTAGATAGGCAGATGGATAGATAGATAGCTAGGTAGATAGATAGAGTAAAGATACATAGAGATAGATAGATATAGTGATATAGTGTGTGTGTGTGTGTGTGTGTGTGAGAGAGAGAGAGAGAGAGAGAGAGAGAGAGAGAGAGAGAGAGAGAGAGAGAGATATTGTTAGATGAGTTACATTGAAGAAGGCGAGATGCCGAAACGTGTCTGATGGACCCAACCAATGTCGATAGACAAACTGAGATGAAAGGTAACGATCTGATTGCTTGCACAATTAAAATGGAACGTTATGTAGTTTGCGCAGTATAATTACTTTTGTTACCTCGTATGTTGGACTACTCTACGTAATTATATCAAATTTATATTACGGAAAAAATAGCCAAATACTTTCCATTTCCAAGAAAAAAATTTCTCTTAGTACAAAGATAAGAAGTATAACAATGGTTTTAGAAATTCATTAAAATTTGACTTCCTTTAAGTTTTAAAGTTTCTCCATTTAGATAAGAGCGACATCTGTTCTCCAATAAAAAAGGGCATTAGGATTTGGTTAGGGGGACAGTCATTGCTTTGTTTACTTGCAAAGTTTAGAAAGCCGCATTACCAAATCGGATAAGGGAGACGAGAAAAAGAAGAAAGGGATAAAAATAAAGATACTTTTTTTATGACGATTCATGTATAAGATGGCGCTGTTAGGGGGTCGTAGAAGAGACAGATTACCATGTCCCCTTAGTCTGCAGGATCGCTGGAACATCTGCCGGGGCAGGCGACCTCGCTTCCCGGTCCCTTGGCTGATTCAAACGTCTGAAATTATGCAAATATCCAGGCAGTGCCAACGGTTACATGTCTTCTTGAATTGTTAATTTAATAACAGACCCGGAGCGGCAATTGTGGGCGGGTAGTGGCTCAAAAACCGACCTAGGGGCGTTTATGCTAATGCACCGAGGGAAGGCAGGGATATTGTTTAATTCCTACGACTTATATTTGAAATGGGACGTCAACCGAACGTACACCGGCAGAAAGACTAGGTACTTATTCAAATTAGAACCGCGGCAAATTTTATTACACGTCTCCTGCCTCCCTCTTGCTGCTCCGAGTCCTATTTTATGTGCATAAGTTTCCACTTTATCTCCACTCCCTGCCGCCGCTACCGTTTCTTTATACTCTTATCTTTCCCCTCTCGACTTAGAACGTATTTTTCCTAGCATAATGGAATAGAAATTCTATATTATTCTTTATTAAGAGTTTGCATGTATTCTCAAGAGAAGAAGGAGACGTTTACGAAAACACTTTCAAATACAGTGTTTATAATAGCATTTCATTAGACTTTTTTAATCCTTCCTCTCAGTTGCATAATGTTAGTTACTTTAATAATAGTAAACAAAATTAATAAAACGTAAAACGGAAGAATAAAACCAAATAATGCACTCATATATCTTATCAAGCAACCTAAAATGATAATTTTTATTATACAAAAGCCAAAAGGAAAACCAAAAACAATGAAATTATAACGCTTTATAACTAAAAACTAATAGGCAAAGGCTTATTTCCGAGGCGTGGAATGCTTTTGGAGAAATGATATACTTTAATTTTCAAAATTTTACGTCCTTTCACCTACCGAATCTGCCCTCCTTTGTTAGCCGACTCTTCATGATCAAAGTTATCAATAATCGCTCGAACAAGACTTTTAAAAAAAGAAGAAAATTTATTGTCAAAACTGTACAACGTTTAAGTTTCAACCGACAGAGTGACGGGGAGATGGCTAACACACGAGTAAGGCAAGGATATTTGAGATTAGGGTTTTTATACTATTTTAAAGAAATGCTGATTAAGATGATGGCGGGCGTCTGGACCCACCAGATTTTGCTGACGTGTTGGTCTGAGGGAAATTTGGTTACTCCATACTTCAATTATATTGCACAATATTTTTTACAGTTTAGGGTTCGTATTGAAGTTTGCTCAATGATTGAACAAAAGTTTGAGCGAGTCTTTTTTTTCTTACATCATAATATTTAATGTTGTAGGATTAGTATTTCGCAATATTTTAACTCTATGTCTAGGTTTTGAATGCCTTTTGTCAAGTCGGTATTAAAAATGGCGGAGAAACCGGCAAAACTAAAAGAAAGAGAGTTCATCGTTGATTACATAACTGTGGTGTTTAGTGACCGTTAGTTAATGATTACTTGGAAATCGTGAGATACGGTCTGGTGTGACGTAAGTTTTAGAAAAACATTTTCTTTATTATGCCAACGTTTCGATCTTTATTGAGATCATCTTCAGGGCTCAAAGTGTTTCTTTCTGTGTAGATGTCTCATTATTGTGTGACGTGTTGAGAGTGACCCAGTTGGAAGTGAGTATTGTTGATTACATACATTACAGGGCGGTCAGCTCGTTGTGTTTAAAAAAATTTTTTGTGACAGTTCATCTAAAGTGGTGTAGAATGCCATAAACTTCTTGGTTTTATTTCGATCCGTTTAAAAGTTACGATTTTCTCAATGTTTAATTAAGAAAAACACGTTTCTTTGTATAAAACCTAAATTTTTTCTACTCTAACGTAACTTTTGACCCCATTCATAGATTTAGGATAGTATTTCCTTTTACATTAGTCCATTCTTCTTCCAAAAATTGGCAGTGTACGTACAAAATAACTGTACAAATAAATGAAATTGGCGAAATGGTAATTTTAGATCAATTTCTTTAAACCGCAGCTCCCTTTTTAGCTAGGTTTTTTTGATGTGCAAATTTTGCAATTGCAATTTCAGTAGGAATTTGGAAAAACGTTGTCCGTGATTATTAATTAGCAAATACATTCTTCAAATTATTTATTAGTAATGAAACTAACTCTCTTCGGAATAAATACCTGATCAACTCTTCAGTCATGAATTTAATACCCATACCACGTTTTTAAATGGTTTGACATTTTTCATAACAGTATAAGGACGTTGATCGAAAATTAATATTTTACATATTCATGTTCTTGTTTTTGTGCGGTTATTTTGTATGAATACTGGAAATTTTTAAAATAAATGCGGACTAATCTAAAAGGAAATTTTGTGGTAAAATTAAAAATTTGGTCAAAGGATGCGAAAAGTTTCGTTAGCGTGGATAAATTTCAAGTTTTATGTATATACTAAACACTAACTTTTCGTATATAAACACTAAAATATCGTAACTTTTGAACAGATTGAGATAAAAAACATGAAGTCTATGGCATTCTACTCCACTATAGATGTACTGTCATGTTATGTTTTTGAGCATATATAATTAGTATAAACTAAATTAGTTATGTTTTTGTATATACTTTCTGCTTCTTTTTTTTTACTATTACCATTATTATTATTTGGAGATGCGGTCTGGTGTGACGTAGGATTTAGAAAAACATTTTCTTTATCGTACCAACGTTTCGATCTTTATTGAGATCATCTTCAGGGCCTGGGATTTATAAACATTGTTTAAATTTTACAAATACATGTAGGATGTGAAAAAACTTCACACTACACATTATTATTATTATTATTAATTGTCAAACGAACCCAGCACACATATAGTCTGCAAGAATCTGTGAACAAAGATTGTCGGAAACGACCAAGTTATAGGTATTCAAAGGACCAATAAATCAAACGAATATGAGCTAGCACAGGTTTATTGATAGGTAAATAGTGTGCGTTTTGAAAATCCACAGCTATATTTTACTCGACAAATTGGTCTAATGAACGGGCTCAGTTGTCGGGAGTCAGCTAATCCCGACAATGGACATTATACGGACGTGTCATCTGAAATCAGACAGCTAGTCATTGTAGATACAACGCACTCACAGATAAGCCTCACCTTCCATGTCTTCACTAGAAGCATCTCGAAGAATCCAAGGAAGCTCTTCCTGCAACAAGACCCAACACGTTAAGAAAATTAAACTGGATAGTACTAATATTGTTGTTATATTGAAGTTTGAAAGTTCTTGGCCTGTTTTCCACGACCTCAAGTCTCTAGAATTAATACTAGAATATATAAAAGAGCGAGTTAGAGATATAAAATGCGGTCATTCGCCGAATGTAGCTATACCTTCCAACTTATCAGACAGAAACGAAGTAAAAATAGGTGAATCAAAAACCATTAAGCATCACATTTAAAAAATTTCGTATCAAAGGGTGTTCATGTAGGTATATTCTTACAAAAATTCACCAAATACTGCAGAAAATTTGAAGAGAAAAGCAGACAAAACTTAAATCGTCTACAATGTATCATTGATTATTTCTACCTAAATACCGTAATAACATAATAAAAAGTTAACTCAGTTTTCTGTTTCTTAGAAACTTGGATTGCATTAGGGTTCATCATTAGAAAAGCTGTAACCTGGAAAATTTACGTAATGATGGTAAAGTACAGGTCAATGGCGTGTTTTAGACATGCGTTTGACCACGCAGCAAACAACGAGGAAATGGACATCCGGAGATGACTAATCGTGATTAGTCAGCTCATCTACTCACACCAACAAAACCAATTTCATAAGGAAAATTGCAAAAATTGCTAAAAGTATAGAAAAGATACGAATGTAGCAACCATGTTAGCAAACATTTTCCTTTTTCAATGGTAAAACTATTGACCACGGTATGGTCATTTAGAATAAAACAAATTCAGTTGTTACTGCTAAGATTTTCACCTATTGACATAATTATGTTTTTTTAGAGGAGATAACATTGCCAACAATTGTAACAGCTTCCTCTCAAGTCTTTAGATATGTTCGGAAATTTCTCCTTCATTAAAGGAAATTGTAGATCATCTGTATAAAAATCTGAATGTCAATCTGTAGACCTATTTAAGGTTATTTTGCCCTGATGAAAATAGTCTTGTCAGTAACAACCGAATTTGCTCTTCTGAAAGACCCAAGGTAGGGTTCCGGAGTGTTCTTGAAATATTTTCTGTGTAGCTTACATGCCCATTAACAAAGAATAACTGTTAATTACCCTTTAAAACGGTACCATTTCCGTTACAAGAAATATATAAAAATGTATAAAAATTTAGAAGGTAATACTTTCATAGCGTCCTCGATATTTTGCGAGTACCACTTTCCACCGGACACGTTCATTTTGTTGATAGGCTTTCTTCCATTGTCAAAAGTCCGCTCAAAAAAATCAACTTCCGAGCTCTCTAAAGATGTAGCTGATTGGAACTAAAACAAACAAACATTGCTTTCAAATTACAGATTGAAAGCAGTTAACTAATTTGTCGATATTCTGAGCGTAGCTGACAATTTTTCTAAAACAATATATATAAGTTGAAAAATGGCAAAAAGGAGGGAAAATTCAAAAGGTGGGGTTGAGATGGGAAGTTAGTGTCCAAGTGGATCGAGGTCACGATAGCTCAAGTGGTAGAGCAGCGGCGTATCTAGCCGAAGATCGTTGGTTCGAATCCCGCTCGTGCCTTGACTTTTTTTATCTCGACTAAAAACCTTAATTAATTGTAATATAAGGTAAGGTTGGTTAGGATATGTTAGGTTAGCGTTAGATTAAGTTATGTTGGTTAGGGTAGGTTAGTAATGGTTAGGTTATGTACTGTTCAAGTAAGGGTTTGGCTAATGAACGGGTTATATAGGGCAAGGGTGAGAGTTACGGACGCGTTATTATCGGTTGGGTGGGATTACATTAGGAATATTTAAATTAGGAAGAGTTATGGACGGATTAGATTAAGGTTAAGGTTAGTAGTAGAATTACGCTGAATGACATGTAAGGTTAACCAGAAATGTGGTTAGAGAAGGTTAGGTTAGGAATGGAAAGGTTAAGTAGGGCAAGGGATTGGGGAAATGCTAAGCCAGGTTAGGTTGAGTTAGATTAGAAATAGCAATGATTTGGAAGAGTGGTTAGTTTACGATTAGACTTAAGGAGATTAAGTTAGGAATAGATTAGATAGTAATTGAATTGAGGTTTCGGAGCGTTACGATTAGAATTAGGACGTGTTAGGTTAACTAGGAATAGGGTGAAGAGAAGGTTGGGTTTGGAATGGTTATGATATGTCGGGCAAAGTAAAGGTAGGAACGCATGATGAGAACTTTATGATTTCCCTTTTCTCGCTTGTTTTTGATGATCAGAAACGACCATGCTTTACAATCTTGATCGTCTTTCAGAAACAGAAAACAACCGTCAACAAGACATGACTACGGTTACAAATGGCCATTTGTCTATGATACTATCTGGTTAATATGATTTTGTTTCACATACGTCATGTTCATTTGGTGGAATAGGATCATCGCCAGGAGGTCCCTCCTGTAGGATCCACGGCACAGACTCTCCACCACCGACGTTCCGATCTCTAAACCATGCTAAATCATTTGTTATATCGCTACCCTCCATATCGTCGTCGTTTGGCTTGCGGCAATCTTCATCATTCCTTTTCTAAAATAAAAGATAAAACATTGAACGAACAAGAAAGCAACGTTAATCTGTAAGAAAGTTTTTTTTTCACAACAACCAAGGGTTACTCCTTACTTATCGCACTGCAAATAATTTGTGTGCTTACTTACTGATGCATCTGATCTCTTCCAAGCCATCACAAACACCTGTAAAATAAAATAGCAATAAATTAATGTGTACGAAGGAAAAGTTTATCCAAACTTACAATAGTAGCTGTAAATGCTAATGCCGCTGACAAGCAATATACTGCCATATTGTAGTCCGGTAATTTCATATCGACATCTGCCATGACTTTGCTACCAGCGGCTTCTTTCGTAAGTATTCCTATCTGAAATTTAATGACACTTATTAAACTACTTTTTATAGTAATGGTTTTCTATATGTTATATTGTGGTGATGTATGGTATTTCACTATTTCAAAAAGGTCAATTGTGATCAGGCTTGATTAGGAACATTTTGATTTAAAAGATTTATAATCAAATGACTAGTGATTCCATATCTACGTTTAAAAAAACGTAGTATACGCCGGCGATAGACAAAAGGTTTTTATGTGTTGTGACATTTGAAAATGGCCAAAAGAGAGAAGGTTAGAACGGTTGTAGGTTGAGATGGAGAGTTGGTGTCCGAGAGGATCGTAGTTACGATAGCTCAAGTGGTAGAGTAGCGGCGTATTTAGCCGAAGGTCGTGGGTTCGAATTCCGCTCGTGTCATAGACTTTTTGTATATCAACCAAGACCTTACATGGAAAGAATAATTAATTGAAAACTATGGAATTTGGTTATGTGATTTTTTTCTTAATATGCAAGCATTTAGTTCAACTTTATATCAGAGCTGTCTAGTAATAGCCAGAAATATTAATTTTTGCAGGAAATACGATAAGATTTTTATAAAATGCCGAGACAGGTTGTTATAGGGATTTTCTCGGATCGGTTTTAATGATTTAATGATGGCGTTTAACATTTTCAACAAATTATTTTTCGGGGACGCTGTCTCAGTTTTTATGCACAAATCACAAATTTTATATATTACGTTAGGTTTTTTTAGTCATACTTCAAAATGTTTTTAAACATTTACACACAGATAAGGTTTATGCCGAGTTTGTAATGCAAAATCATTTTTTATTAAGACGTCTTTTCTTGATTTTTAGGCAATATATAGCAAACAATTTTATTAGTATTTTCACGCATAGTTTTTGTAAGAAGGTAAATCAAAACAAACTGTTTTTTTCAAATGTTTTTAATAATGTGTGATAATTGTGAAAAAAAATGTTAAAATTTTTCAAAATATTACGAGGTTATTTCAACTACTAGCTATATGAACCCTCGGGTTGTCTGTGTTTTTGACGTAAAGCTCATTTGGAAGTAGGTCGGGTTCGAACACACTTCATTTTCACATTACTTCATCATGTTCAACTTTCATACCTAGAAATCAGAACAGTCAGAAGCATCCACACACCTACTGAAACCGGGTTCCCAAGTAACTAAGTCTTCCTAGAACACAAAAAGCCGCCACCCGGTAGACACCAGCACTTCACAACCTCCGGACAACTAATTTTTGTTATCACCTTTCTTACTCCAGTTGCATTTAAACATTTAATTGCCTTCAGAAACTTGAATAACCTATCCATCAGAGAAGGGTCATCACGAACATAAACAGCCTACAATGACCTATTCTAACCTAACAATAATAGCTTGTTTGTGTTTAATCTCTTCGTGATTGAAATACAACATATTACATTTTTTATTTACCTACGTTTTACATTAGATGCCATGCTTCCTGCCACAAACAAAAGGACATGATTTTAAAGCAAGCTAGCACATCTAAATTTGTCGTTTTGTCTAATTTTCGTCATGAAAAACATGAAGCCCAGAAACTCGCATAAAAAGAACTTTAACTTCACGGTTTTTAAGGAATCAATGCCAAAGTCTTGTTCTAAATGGTGGAAGGAAGAGATGTTTTTGTTCCAATAACACATAATGGATTCAAATACTGAAAACAGCACTAAGCTATTGGTACACGCTCAGCAGTAAAATTAATACGGAAAGAATATTTAAAAAGAAACTATAAGCAGATTGTACGTTTTAAACAATATCTACCATAAATAGTATTATGAAACAAATTTCTTTAGAAAAAAAGAAGGAAAATGTTTAAAAAATAAACCTTTTTAAGTACAAATAATGTCTAAATACACTGCTCACCCATTCTTTTATCTGTTGCCCAACAAATAAGAGGGAAGGTAGCGAACGTTCCATGATTTCTTGATGATCTTAAAATTTATTTTTTTTACAAAGGATTTTTTACATTTTATTCCATCGAGAAATGTTTTGCAGCTGTTGGATGTCGTGAACATGTGTACTTATTAAAATTTATGTATGAAAAGTGTTTTTATACAACGTTTTTCTGATAAAATAAATCCCAACAATCCCAGCTGCGTATTGGTTAAAAAAATTGTGTCTGCGTGTCCTAGTTTTTTAGACGTTTACCAAACATTGGATCGCTCCTGGCACCGGGGTGTTCTGTTTAAACTCAATCCTTTCTTATGCTGTACATACATTCTCATCCTGTAATCCTACCTACCTAATCGTCTCTTCGTCGTTACCTACCGAACCACTAATTCTCCGATACATTGTAACCTGCTTGTGGTGGTCACAAAAGGAAGCATCTTAAGCCCGCTGAATTTTAGTATATGCCCTTTAAAAAAAAAAAAACACGCTTACTTTTGTTGGCGATACCACAATCGTCTGTAAAAACATAAATCCTCTCTTAGCAGTTCGATTTCTCCAACATCATAAGAATAACAAAATATGAAAGCAAACTTAATATGTTTTTCCCTTCAAAGCTGAAATACTTTTTCCGATTTATCTGGGTCAAATTCTACGTCAAATAAGTGAATCTGAACACAGACAAAAGGTTGAATGGGAATCATAGACGAGTCTTAAAATGGCACATGTGAACTAAAAGAAGTGCTAGACATAGTGTCAATACATAATTCACAAAGCTATCATTTAAACAGCTCATCTATAGATTTACAAAAGCTAAAAATTGCATCCTTAACATGAACCAGCCCTTCCAGTAGGAATGAGCATCGATAGTAGATGATTAGAAAACATCGATGGTAGGCGACCGATGTTCGATATTTTCAACATCAATGTTACTGTGTCGATGTTTTTTTTCCATCGATGGCGGGCTGTCGATGTTATATAAACTTTTTCAGTTTTTCCTAATTTCCACTTTTGTGAATAGGGAATGACCCATATTCTCCTCATTTGAAGGTGACCTATCAGAACCTGTCAGGAGTTATTCAATTTTTTACTTAGTGGCACATCTGTTCCCCCTGAAAGATAATTTTCCATAGCTCGACTGATTATATCGCAAACTAGAAATTGCTAAGAGAGGATATATTGTCTTTGTTTTTTAAATTGCGTTCCCGAGAAGATGTGATTGTGTTTCATTGTAAAATTTGTATTCATAAATTCTAATAAATAAGGGATATGGTTGATTTTAGTACTTACATGTTAAACCTTTACTTTTTTGAGAATGGGACAGGAATTGGGCTTGGGTGAAGTATGGATGTTTTCAAAGTAACGAAGAAAAACGGGAGGTGTTTTGAGTAAAATTCACAGGCACAAAATTAATAATAGACGTGTTTTATTTAATAGGGACCTAGAGACCTATAACTGTAAATTAAACCAACAAGCAAAAATAATTCCTCATAAGTGTTATTAAAAAATAAACTTAATTTTTATTACTCAAGTTTCTAATACAGGTACAGAAATGACGAATTTTGAAAAATTAGCTTATGTTTTTAAAATGGCACATAAAAATAATGTATGCATATGAAAATAATTTGTGATTTGAGAGATGAGTACTCAAAAAATCATCGATATATAGACTGTAGAGTCAATGGTCGTACCACCATCGATGATGAGGTAACGATGATTATTCGATGGTGTCCATCGACGATTTTTTTATTTTATTGATGCTCATCCCTACCTTCCAGTTCAAAATCATGTTAGTACTTTACACTCAAAAGCTCCGAATCTTTTCCTTACTAATTCATTTAGTTCAATACGCAACATCAACACATCCTATTCAAATTATCTCTTCATTCCAAATACCTCAACTCTTTCTTTTCCAATCTTACCCTCTCCCTAAACTGTTAGAAATTTCCATCTATAGGGTATAGGCCATGCAGTCCAACAGGAAGATATTATATTGGTCATACAGGAAAGATTGATTGTATACTAGGTTTCTAGAATTATTCTTTGAAATGGTTTATAGGTTGTGTAGGGTTTTTCTCAGACAGACAAGAATCAATTGCATACATTGATGCAGCGTCAAAAGAAAAGTTTTTAAACACATCAGTTTACAAGGAAATAATCTATCTAAAAACCGTTTTAAGCCGTACCGTTTTAATTAGCGATGGAATATTTAGTCTTTTTGGAAGAAAGGCTTTGCGCACATTAATGACAATGATCAGTGTCTTTAGATAGGAGTAATGATTTCCGCATCCACACGAAATGTAGAAGTACCCTATTAGCAAGGCAGCGTTAATCATGAAATATAAATAAACCTAAGCCACCTCTTTTTGAAGTGTTTTGACAAATTAGTCCTTACCGAGAGTCAGTGTAACGGAGTGCTTACACGTAAGATGTTTCAAAATGCCCACTAAACGAACAAACCCGGAAAGTTAGAGTAACTGAAAACTATCGTAAGAAAAAACCCTATTTTTTTTGTCAGGTTATCATAATAATTAAAGAATAGAAAGGAGAGAGAGAGAGATAGAGTGAGAGGTAGGAAGATAGATAGAAGGATACATAGACAAATTTGGTGGATATACAAATTCATAGATAAATAGACAGAAACATCCATTATTTAGGTAGACAGATAGATAGATAGGAAGATTCTTAATAGAAAAATAGTTAGATAAAAGATTAATCAAATATGTATATAGATAGATAGGTAGATAGATAGATAGATTCATAAATAAATATGTAAATAATTAGATAGATAAATAGATAGATAGATTTGTAAGTTTGATAGAAACAAAGGAATACAAAAAGAGATTGAGAAAGTGAGAGAAAGAAAGAGAGAGAGGGAAAGAGAGAGGAAGAGATAGAGGAAGAGAAGGAGAGAAATAGATGAATATATAAGAGGATAAATATATTGTTAGAGAGCAAGAGAGAACGAGCTGGATTACGAGAAAGAGAAGGAGAGAGAGAGAGGGGGGTGAGAGAGCGAGGAAGAGAGAGAGAAAGAAAGGTAGGTAGATAGATAGATGGATGCATAGAAAGTTCGTTGGATATATAGATAGATGGTTCGAAAGGTAGATACATAGACAGAAACAACCATTAGATAGGTAGACAGATAGATAGGTAGATGCTAATAGAAAAATTGTTAGATAGAAAGATTAATCAGATATATAAACATATAGATAGGTAGATTCATAGATAAATTCATAAATAAATAGGTAAATAATTAGATAGATAAATAGATAGGTTTATACATTCATTATTCAGATATAATGAAAGACATACAAAAAGTGGGTGAGAAAGTGAGAGAGAGAGAGTGAGGAAGAGAAAGATGAAAAGGAGAGAAATAGATGAATATATAAGTGGATAAATATGTAGTTAGAGAGGAGGAGAGAACAAGCTGGAGTGTGTCAGAGGAAGAGAGAGAGAGAGAGAGAGAGAGAGAAAGAGAGAGTGAGAGAGAGGGAGGTAGGAAAAGAGAGAGAGAGACATACTGTCATCATACAAGGGATTTCCATTCTATTTGAAAAAAATTGAAATGAAATATTGCCTTGTAATATTTCCTTTACAAGGTACAAGTATGCAAGTATGTTAAAGTATTGTCCGTGAAATTGAAATAATTCTAGAACCTAACCACCCAGAGCAAACAAGAAAGAGATCTTGACAAATCGAGAAGTGGGGATGTTATGCCATTTGTTGAATTTATGCAAGCGACTTTCTGTCAACTCATTCTTTGGACGTTGATGCGTCAGAGCGTGAATCAAGTGTTTATTAATGATACTACAGACAATATGTTTTTTTGGCGGAAGAAATGTCGATTAGAAACGTCAGCTCGCTCAAAATTCGTCTCGAATAACAAAAGGACCGTTCATTCATGATTCCCCTGATACTGTGTCTGTTGTTTTTGCCTTCTTGATATTCCTTTCATAATACTAACTACGGTTGAATTCATTATTGAAGAAACAATTTTCCATGGTTAAAAGCCACATTTTCACTGAAAACGAACTCGCAAGCAACATCTTTACCATCATAATTTTTGCCTTGGCTCAATAATTTGTAGATGAAGTTTTTTATTTATTTATAAGATCGTCTTTTCATTCCAAAAATTGGAAGATTTTTTAAATTATCTGTGCACTCACTCTACTAAAAAATGCCTAAAAGATATTATGTAACAATTCTGTTTTCTAGATCAATATAAATAGATATATATAGGGAAGGAGGAAATGAATAGTGAGTGGGAGAAGTAAGGAGAAAAAAACGAATGATAGATCGATAGAGATAGAGAAAGAGAGTGAATGAAAGAGGGAGTGAGGGAGTAAACGAGTGGAAGAGAGGGTGAGTGAGAAAGGATGAGAGAAAAATAATTAGATGAATCTTGAAAGAAAAAAAGAGAGAGGACACAAGAGAACGAAACTTTATCATATCCTAGGAATACATTCTCTTAAGAAAAAAACTACTAATACAAAAATAGTATAAGAGCAAGAGAGAGAGAGAGAGAGAGAGAGAAAGAAAGATATGAACGTGAGAAAAAATCGTAAGTTGAGGAAAATAGACGAAAAGATAGAGGCAGAGTGGGTAGAGAAAAAGTGAGAGAGAGTGAGTGAAAGAGAGAGAGAGAGAGAGAGAGAGAGAGAGAGAAAGAGAGAGAGAGAAAACAGACAGACAGACAGACACACCCACACCAACCCACCAACACACACCCACACACACACACACACACACACACACACACACACACACACGCACTGACAAGATAAGTAAATTGACCTTGGGTATTTATTGACCATGGTTACAGAATTAGTGATGTGTACCAATTTTATCAGTGGGCGTCACTTTAAATTATTTAGTCTGAAAACCTGAAAATAAAGTAATTTGAAAGTTGTATGGTATGAATCATGTAAAATTTAAAAAATTCAGAAAAACTGTTGAGCTAGAAACTATTATATTCATAAAACATAAAAACGATAATTGATAGTCAGTTTACGCTTTAAATTGCCCTCGCACTTTACGAAAATTACAAATTACTGGCTAAGAATTCGAACCTCTTGCAAAATGAACAACTTTTTTTATTTAGGGAGAATAAGAGTGTTGATACAATTAATAAACATAAAATTCATAAGGAATTGAAATGT